TTAATCAAGACATTAAAAATCCTGTTTATAATTGTACACTGTATATATAATTATCAGAAAAAATGTTTTAACGAAACATTGATCCTAAATGAATTCTGCTGGAAAAACTGAAGAGGAGTGTACTAAAATAACTTCTCTATTTAGTTCACTTTTATTTAATAAATTTCCTACATTTACCACATTTACTTTCCCCGCTGGTAAAACTTCTTACTAACTGAGGATTTGCACACCTACAAATTTCATGCGCAGGTCGATACTTTTGCAACCGGAATCCGGGGGAAGGTCTCTGTGTAATGTTCGGGGGATTCTGCTGTGCCGTATAAAATTCGACAGAGCTGCTTGTCAAAGTTCCGAACAGATGTCGAATGGTTTCTTTAGTGGCATTGATTGGAACAAAGTTAGGAAAGAATTGGATCCGGAAACACCATATCAGGAAAGTGTAATTTTTCCAACTGAGAAATATCTTTGGATTCGTGAATCTTAAGTTTTCGTTTTGCTTTTGATAAAAGTGTTTCATATTTATCTTTCTGTCTCTCGAAATCTCTTAAATCGCTTTCCTCCATTGTTATTAGTTCCTCTTCGTATTCTTGCACCAGGTCATGCACTGCTGCGTGCCATCGTCTGCCTTGTAGAAGAACGTCATTAATTCTAAAGTCTACTGAAAGGTGACTGAAAGTCTACTGAAAGGTCACTGAAAGTTTACTGAAAGGTGACTAAGAGTCTACTGAAAGGTGACTGGAATGTCTACTGAAAGGTGACTGAAAGTCTACTGAAAGGTGACTGAAAGTCTTCTGAAAGGTGACTGAAAGTTTACTGAAAGATGACTAAGAGTCTACTGAAAGGTGACTGAAATGTCTACTGAAAGGTGACTGAAAGTCTACTGAAAGGTGACTGAAAGTCTATTGAAAGGTGACTAAGAGTCTACTGAAAGGTGACTGAGAGTCTACTGAAAGGTGACTGAAATGTCTACTGAATGGTGACTAAGAGTCTACTGAAAGGTGACTGAAATGTCTACTGAAAGGTGACTAAGAGTCTACTGAAAGGTGACTGAAAGTCTTCTGAAAAGTGACTGAAATGTCTACTGAAAGGTGACCGAGAGTCTTCTGAAATGTGACTGAGAGTCTACTGAGAGGTGGCAAAATGTTTTCTGAAAGGTTTATTGGAAGCTGACTGTGCGGTAGAGCTTTTCTGCCCAACCACATTTTCAGGCCTTTTAGACACTAACCAGCTGACTGAACGGCGGATTTCCATCCTTTGATTTCAATGGGTTGAATAAAGAAAATATCACATCACACACCTACAGTTGTTTTTTTTTATCTTATACAGTTTTTGTCTGCTAATAGATAATCATTTCTGACAAGAGATTATCCCTATGAAACTATGTGCATAATTTTAACTTAACAAAGGGATGTATTCCGTTGATGAATTCCGTTTGAAACATGGCTCTAGAAAGGATCTTTTGTGATAAAAGTATTTTTTGAGAACCAATAATTTTGACCATCTTACCTTAACTTTAAAGTTAAGCCTACTTTGGAAAAATAGAACATTGGCCATAACTTTTCATTGGTTTGTGCTAGTGTGTATATTTCACAGATATTCTACAAGTGAGAAGGCCATTCCTTGGATAATATTATCTTATTATCTCTCAATCTTGATATTGGAGTTTGACCTCCATTTTCAAATCTTTAACAATTGGTGCTAGGGTTTCCATATTTCACATGAGTATTTCTTGTAATAAGACTTTTATGAGCACCATTAATTTTGACCTTTTGATCTTGACCTTGGAGTCTGACCTACTCTTGAAAAACACAATCTTGGTCGGTACCTTTGAATGGCTGGTGCTGGGACATTTGTAATTCATAGGTGTTTTCTGTGTCACAAGACCATTCACTTGGCTCTATTTTTTTAATCTTCATTTTGGGTTTGGAAATTGACAAGCAATTAAGAGTAATTTTAACCTTTGTTTTGAGCTGCAATATTTGGACATTATAATTAGTGTTTGTTGTACATCATTGTCGTCTTTACATCAGTTATTAATTAAAAATACTTTTTGTGTATTTTGATTGCTTTCTTTTGCGTTATTTTTCGTACACCAATTGAAATGTATTTTATTTGAGTACCTCTCCAGTGTACATTTTAAATAGGGTTTACAGAGAGATTGATTTTATAATTCAAAGTTCAATCAATATTTAAACTGCACAAAAAGGTACCGTTCAATATCTTCACCGGGACCGTAGTTTAGCGAAAAGTGCATGTCTTTTTAACAGTAGAGCAATGATGATCATGCATGAATTATATTACATTAAATAAATAAATATCTTTAAAAAACTTTTTAACTTAGAGAATCATCTTTTTTCTCTTCCATTGTTTCCTTCTATTTCCTTTGTTTTTAGCTCACCTGAGCCAAAGGCTCAAGTGAGCTTTTCTGATCAAAATCTGTCCGTTGTCGTTGTCGTCGTTAAAAACTTTTCACATTTTCATCTTCTTCTCAAGAGCCACTGGGCCAGTTTCAAGCAAACTTGCTACAAAGTATCCCTTGGTAAAGGGGATTCAGGTTTGTTCAAATATTAAGGGCCACGCCCTTTTCCAAGGGGAGATAATTACGTATTAAAGAAAAATTAATGGCATTTTTAAAAAATCTTCTTCTCAAGAACTGCTAGGCCAGGAAATATGAAACTCATGTGGAATCATCCTCAGGTAGTATAGATTCAAGTTTGTTCAAATCATGACCCCTGGGGCTATGGTGGGGCCAAAATGGCAGTTAAAGTTTCACATAGGAATATATAAAAAAAATCTTTAAAAATCTTCTTCTCAAGAACCACTAGGCCAAGAAAGATGAAACTCAGGTGGAATCATCCTCAGGTAGTGTAGATTCAAATTTGTTCAAACCATAACTCCCGGGGGTAGGGTGGGCCGAAAATGGCCGATCAAAGTTTTACATAGGAATATATAGGAAAAATCTTTGAAAATCTTCTTCTCAAGAACCATTGAGAGAGGAAAGATGAAACTCATGTGAAATTGTCCTCAGGTAGTGTAGATTCAAATTTGTTCAAATCATGACCCCCGGGGCTAGGGTAGGGCCATAATAGCTGTTAAAAGTTTTACATAGGAATATATAGGAAAATTCTTTAAAAATCTTCTTCTAAAGAACCACTGGGCCAGGAAAAATGAAACTCATGTGGAATCATCCTTAGGTAGTGTAGATTAATTTTTTTTTTTCAAATCATGACCCCTGGGGCTATGGTGGGACCAAAATGGCAGACCAAAGTTTTATATAGGAAAATATACGGAAACCTTTTGAAATCTTCTTTTCAAGTACTTCAAAGCCATGATTAGTGATATTTATATGGAATTATCCTCAGATAGTTAAGATTCTAGTTTGTTCAAATCATGACCATCTGGGAAGTTAAAATTCAAGCCCCCCCCCCCCCTTACCTCAGTAATCTTTCAGTTCTGATCTGATATGTGCTTTTTCTTAGCAGATATTCTCAGGTGAGCGCTGTGGCCCCTGGTCCTCTTGTTAATTGAGGTGATATGAAATATGAATTCTTTTTATTTTAAAAAAGCAGGTTAATCTATTTATATTTTCAATTTGCAATGCATAATAATCAATGTACACGTACCAATAATTTAGATATGGCAATTCATAATTAAGCCTAAGATAAGTTGTGCAAAACATACCTTTCTTTTTGCTTGTCCGTTTCGCAATTATGTTCTCAATAAAAATAACCAATAACCTACAGGGTTGTCTGCTGTTTTACTTTTAGAATGCACCTAGCGCTCCTTGGCAAGCATATAAAACAAGATCGTAAATAGGCATTATTCAGGACGTTCAATTTTCAATAGTCGTTTGAAATAACTTTTTAAAGAGAAAAGTGGGTGCTTAAGAAGGCAACCTCTTTCAATGAAATAGTAGTTAGTTTGATTCCTGATATTTACTCCACGTTCGGGGGCATTGAGCTTTGATATCCTCCTATTCTTTATCGACTTATACTTTGCCCAGCCAGGCCCCATGTCCATAAACTAAGAATAGACTTTAGTCAAAATTAAGATTTTAAATATTCTACTAGAATTTGACGAAAATGTCTAACAACTTTCAAGTTTGTTAAATATCTAAATATTAACAAAACCTTTTTTGTTTCATTTTGAATTTTTTTTTATTTACACCGATTTGAAATTTTGACTTCAATTCTATTCTCAGTTTATGGTCTTGGGGCCAGGTTTCGAAGAAACAACGGTACCCCTGTTACAGATTGCCCTGCACTGCTGACTAAGGTATTTCCTGAACACGAAATATAATGGACACGAATCTAAAGTAAAATAAGTAAAAAATGAATAGAGTGACATTATCAATAATAAAGTGGCTTACATGGAGAACGAAATGTTTTTAAAATGTGTATTTGCTAAAATAATTCAAATAAAAGCATGCGTGCATTTTCATTTTGACATTTTATTTCTCGGCAATATATATTCATATTTTTACTCGATATAGTCCCGTAAATTCAAAATGTGAGTGAAAGGAGTTTGTCGTTTTTATTGAGATGCTTTATTGACTATGGGCATTTATGGACCATTATCGACTTAACTGTGTGACAAAGACTAAAACATGTTTTTCCATCGTCAACTACCTTAATTACTATTTTTGTCCCCCGCTTGAAAAGTGGGGGATATTAATTTGGGTTTGTCCGTCCGTCTGTCCGTGTTTACGAGAGTGCATTTATTGGGTATTTTTCATGCCAAGATTGTACTTATTGGGTACTTTTTGCTTATTGGGTATACCCAATAAGAAGTGTCGCTGAATATGCTTAAAACACCCTAATTGGGTATTTGCAGGTTAGTACCCAACAAAACTTGGACACGACGATTTGTCCAAAAAAAGTGTCCAAAAAAGTTGCTTTCACGGACGCACCGTGTTTTGTTGTTTCAGTTTTACATTCGGAACTCTAAATTCTCGAGAGTTCCGAAAATCAACTTCTCCTGATCCTGATCATAACAACGTTTGTTTTCATGGAAAAAAAATATGGCGACTAAGAAACACTTAATGTCAACAAGATTTTCTGATTGACAAGAGAAAAGGTAAGTTTATTCGATTAATATTTATCCATTGCTGGGTTCTTGTTTAAGGAAAATAGATTTTAATGTAATTTTGAAAACAATTGTGCACAAAATTAAAATAGATATATCGGAACAATTAATCCTAAGTTGCACTAGTCTTGTTTGTATTTTGAATTTTCTCTGTCTTTTTAACTCTCTTGAGGGCGAGAAGTATTTACTAAATGATCGTATATTGTTAGATAATCTTTAATAAATCGAAAGTGTTTATTATTTAAATTTATATCATAACCAACTATAAGTATGTTCTGACAATGTATATTGGAAAGGGAAATGAAAATTTTAACAATCGTGTTTTCCTAAATCAGCTGTAAATTATCAGTTCATGTAGACAGTATTACAATCGCAAAGTGAGCTGAGATGATGATAAATGGGATAATTGACAACAACTAAATAATTGTATGTAAGTTTATCTCCTCTGATATGTAACTTAAGAGATTCATTGTATTACCGAAAAACTTTCAGTCAAAACAGTGCTTCTTTCTGTCTTTGATTTTGACTGAGTGTCTGCTTTATTTTGATTTTTTTTAAATTATTGTTTTTGTCATTTGTTTTAATTAATTTAAAACAATACTGAAATTGATATAGGGCTACTATAACTATTTCACATGATGGGTGTGTAATTAGCATCACGCTACACCCGGGGCTTCCATTTTTGAGGATGGGCCTAGTGGTTTTCTGCACTGAGGAATCCCCTTGGGCTATTAGGAATTTTAAAATACACATATAATACATGAAAAGCACCACCGGTATTTTCACTCTTTTTTGCTATTAAATTCCCTAATATGGAAATATTCCAGACAGCATGCTCATATTATCCATAAATCTCCACAATTGCATCCATTTTGCAGTACTACAAGACTGATTTACTTAAAAACGACCTATTTCCTAATTTGAATTCCCCCCTTTCCTTTGTTTAATATAGCAATATTTGCTTGTACATATATGCCTCGCAGATATCTCATTATTAAATTATATACATTCACTCAATCAGCTCAATGATAAGTGTCATGCAATTATGTAGCGTTTTTTAAAGCCATGGCGTAACTTATCAAAAAATATATTTTTGAAAAATACAAAATTAAGTAAAGAAATATAGTTAATACATTTAAATTAAAGCTTTTCATACAATTCGGAGCACGGAGAACACCTCGTTTTATCTAATAATACGATTTTATCTTCTCTGTAATGTGTTATTTAAATCTTTTGTATTTTCTTCCAAGTCGGAGAAAATTCTGAGAATCCAAATTAAATTTTGATATCTTTATAACGCAATTGACTTTGATTTTGTAATTTACGGAAAATTTCTATCTTTATCATGTTTATATAAAGTAATAATACAAATAATAAGTTCTTAATTCTAGTCTAATAATTTTCATTGTACATACGCCATATATGGCTTTAAATGATTCAAGATGAAAACAAAATGATTTTTGCTTCGTTTTAATTAGACGAACTAGTGAATGACCAGAAAAGGAATATTAAAAATCTTTTTTTCATTTTTTTAAAATCATTAATTTATATATGATTAAATTTTACTCCCGAAAATTAAATTAAACTTTAATTTCAAAAAGAATCATCTGTAGTTAATACCCTGCAGGGCCCGTTTCATCAAAGGTCGTACGCCCAGTCGTAGCGCTACGCCGGCGTAAAGTCGGGACTAGCACGAATATTTGCATTTCATTAAAGAGCGTATCGTTACGCCTGACTAAATTTAGGCCAAAATTTTACGTCTACTCATGGGTAGGCGTAAGTTAGGGCGTAAAGTTAAAATAAGGCCTTTTTATTAATTTTGGCGATAACATTTAAAGTTCAAATGAAGTATCATTGTTTTGTAAATTTACTTTTTACATTTATGTATTCATTCTTAATCTTATATTTAAACCTTATAAAGTAACATATAACTCTAAAACATCCCCCCTTCCGACCATTCAATTAAAACGTGCTAGTCCGCCATGTACAATATAAGCAGCCCGAATTCTACCATGCATTAAGTTTATCAATGTCTTAATCTGAGCGAAATAAATATTCTTGTCCTTTTTTAAATGCCTGTTTTTCAGATACTGAGGTCGAATTTTCTCTAACTTGGCGTAGTGTAGTAACCCTTGGACTTCCGGTCAAGGAACTGTCATTCATGCTTTTGAAACACATGAGCCCGAAAAGTTGTTATGTAGTGTATATTTGCATCTGTAGCTCTCCCTTTTCTTAATTTTGAAAATTTCCAACATTAGCAATGAAAATGCGTGCTTTCAGTTACTTTGAGGAAATACAGGCATCACATCCGGAAGAGAAAGAAGGATATTTTTTCCGGACTTTTAGTACAAGACTTATAATTAACAGGTACAAAACCTTGTAAACCCAAAATATTGTCAATAATTTTATTAAAAATGCTATTTTTTGATTTCTGTTCAGGGAGCTAAAAATCAACTTCCGGTCATGGAATGAAAATCATTCAACCGTTAAATAACTGATTTGGCAAAGTAAAAGATGTCCTAACTTTTTTGGTACATAGTTATATCCCGTATATAATTTTCACCCCTAAAATTAGGGTGCTGCGTTTCTATTGACGGTGAGTATATTTTGATAAATTTCTGCTGAGAAGAAAAGATTGTCTTATTAGAGATTTCTTACGTTTTGACAATGCAGTCATACACATTTGATTGTGGTATTGTATGTCTAAGGTATTGTAAATCAATTTACATATATAACTGTATTTCTACACCCCGCTTCTACAAGCCGCACGGTACATGTATATGTAATGTATATACTATTTAGTAATCGGGATGTCCGTCCGTCCATCTGTTACGCTTTGGGGGTACTCATCTCTATCCGCAACTCCTTTCATATCACTGATTGAAATTTGTGAAATTTTCATAGAATCTTTATTATATATTGCCATTGTGCCTTATTGTACTTTTTGATCCGACACATATTTTGGGTTTCCCACAGCAAAACATGGACACTGCCATTATATTTATATGGAAGGCGGGGGGGGGATATCTTTTATTGAACTCATTGCTTACGGTACCTCTAGTTTCTTTTTCATTTACTAAAAAGAGACCCATTAAAATTGTCTATTTTGAAAAATATTTTCCAACAGCATATTTTCTGAAAAACAAAATTTACAAAAACAAAAACAAAAAAAAAATCGGTTTCAAAAGCATAGTTATCATCTTTCATGTAATTTTCTACATTTAAGAAAAAAATTCAAAAAATAACCCATCTTAAAACCAAATAGTTTTTGTCATGTTTGAAGAGTCCATTTCTTATTTACTTCTCGTCCACATGCGTGGATCCAGAGGGGGTCGGAGAGAGGGTTCAGAATCTCACGAATTTGCAGATTAATTAACATTGAATGTAGAGATTACTTAGTTAAGGACGAAAGTAATTATTTTCCTAGGTATCTGGGACAAGTGATGTTCCCGGCGAATCATAGACCCCAACCCAGGGAGGGGGTTGGGGTCTCATAGACAATAAGATATTTTTGAAAGTGGTAATAAATTATTGCTTTTATAATATCGATGTAAGACGGTGATAATTACACAGTTAAGTTCAAGAATGAATTATTCCTATTTTTTTTTTCTCAGACAAACATTGATGCAGAAGACATCTTTAATTTTCATAATTTTGTTTAAAAGAGCAAATCTTACATAGTATAAGATAATCTGAGCGCATATAAAGCACATATAAGATGAAAATATACATGTTTTTGATCCTGCATTACTTACATTTTAATGAAAACAAAATAAAGAGTAGCTGTAACTAAATTTTAAAGACAGAGTCCACACAAGTAGATAATTTTTGTAAGAATATCTTTGTAGTCATTTTTCCACACTCTCTCTCTCTCTCTCCTCTCTCTCTCTCTCTCTCTCTCTCTCTCTCTGCGTACTTTTAAAATGGTACATCACATTTAATCTGCAGATAGTAAAGAATTTTTTTCTATAACTGAACAATTATGAATCAATTGAATTGACAAAAAATTGATAAATACAGAGAGGATTATCTTACCTTTACCATAGTAGTAAACGTGTAAAATTTATTTCTTGACTCAAAATGTGTTCATTTGTAAACCGTTTGCATTTTGTTTTCATTATTTTTGCTTGCATATACATTTCTATTTAAAATTTTTAAATCTTATTCTGTCTCAAACTTGATTATTAGTATTTGTCAGTAGAATCAGTATTTATCGAATCATGAAATTTATTATCAAAGGCGAAGTTATTAACCTGTATCAATTTTGGGAAGAGGGGGTATGGCTGTAATTAAATTTCCAAAATGAATAGTTTTGCTTAATTCCGAAATACAAGTACATGTACTGTCCTTTTCATCCTTTCAATTTATTAGACTTTTATTATTGAAATATTGTAAAAAAAAAAACTAAAAATGGTTTCTTAAAAGATGCATGTCTCTTACATAACACTATAAACCCATGCATGTTTCAATTAGTGCAAGTATTAATTTATCTATAACTTGTGTTATTCTGTACTTTGACGTGCTACAGTTTATACATGTTTGTACGCTTTGGGCAATGTTTATGTTTTTGCGCCTGCGCAATGCAACGTTGTCAAGGACTTAGTCCTGTAACTAAGCGTATCTTTTACGACTAGACTTACGCCACTTGGTGAAACGCAAATTACGCCCGACTAAATTTTGGCGTAATCCCCGGAAGTACGCCTAAGTTAAGGCTTAACTTTACGACTTTTGATGAAACGGGCCCACTTTTTTCACGATGAACTTTTTTTTCAATGTTACTTTTTAATTTTTGCCTCTATATTTGGGCTTGTCACTTTTTACTCGGGGATAGTAACTTTATTGCCACAAAGCTGTGGATTTATAAAAGTAATCAATAATTACAATGGAAATTAAAACCATAATCATGTTCATTGAGGATTTTTCAATATGTAACAGGTCAAACAGGAACTTCAGTTGTGAACATTGCAGAGAACACACCCATCAGAAGATGACCCTCAGAAATAGGACAATTGTAAGTAATCAGTAAAATGAACAGAAATACTTCATGCCAACCATAAGATTTTTAGAGACATTTTCGCTTCTTAAATTAGAAGAGATGATGGAAAAACTTGTACATACTACATAACTAATAGGCAACCAACCTTTAACTGCAGGAAAGCTTTTGGTATGTGCAATACAGCTACATAAAACCTCTTTAGAATTCATGTTAAGTTTGAGAAAGTACCTTAGTATTTTTTTTAGTGTTTGCCAACATTTTCATGCACACTGTTTGCTTGTTTGTACTATCATTTTATTTTAAATTCTTCAGATGCCCTTTACCTTTGCCAGTTTAGAATCATTTGTTTTAAGGGCATCTGAGGGTTGGTTCCAGAACTTAACTAATTGTAAAGTAAATACTGGGGTACTATACGGTCATAGGTTATGTGAATACATGTATAACATTTTGGTCTGATAGAGGTGGCATACAGGAAAAGAAACAATACTAGATATCACTTCAAAGGAATAAACAGCTTCATCTTGTAGGTGTATTTTATTTAAGGATCACTACTTCATGTCTGATGTGCTGAAAGTTATTCATAATCTGTTTGACTGTAATTTTTCATATTTTCAACTTCTATGATATCCAGCTTAGTCAATTTTAATTAAATTTTGTGCAAAGCATACCCCAGGAAGGGGGGATCGAGTGTCAAGTGTGCCTCTGTCCCTGTCAATATAATTTCAAAGCAGTTAGTAAGGTTTGGGTCAATTTTAAATCCTCTTTAGCAGAACCATTGGGCTAAAAACAATACTAATGTGAAAGCTTTATCATTAAGTGTAGAGATGTTTTTGAAGATTATGTACCCCTAATGTACTGATAGTGTTACATTAGAAGTCTAAAATTTGCAAGGAATAGGTGTAAAATCTTCTTAACAATCAGAAGCTAACATACTGTCTAATTAATATGCAACATCGTTTTGTGTGTTGAATGATGATTCCATTTTGATAAAATTATGGCGGATGGGGGGTAGGATGAAGATGCAGTTAGACATAGAAGAAAAAAAAGAGTTGATAGAATTTAGTTTTTCTTCCATTTTATTTATCAATACATATTTCTGAATAAGAAATATACTTCTACTTCTTGGTTGGGTTTGATCAACATAAAGGGTGATCTTGCTGTAGTCAAGAAAAACATGTTTTATAGGGCAAAGAAATGCCTTTATCTAATTGCAGAATAAATAAAATGGACAGAGGCAGAACTGAAGGAGATGCATGAAATGAGGAATATTTCAAAGATTGCCTGAGCATAACCACTGCTACTGGATAAACATATGGCAATATAAAAGAGCAGGTTCAATGGAGGTATCATACAGTATAGGCCATGAGAGACCCCGAAGAAGAAAGTATTGAACAGAAACAAAAATAAAACCATTTTGACATTTATTGAAATATAGGTTCAAAGTCTTACATGTAAAATTTGGGCATGTAATGACTTTTCTCTAGTTCTAAGACTTATAACAGTGATGATTTGATTTAATATCTTTATCCCGATTTGTCGAAAAGATTTGGACATAGTGCATCAATTATTTTAAAGTTTTGATACAACGAATTCATTCATTGTACTTGTAACTAAGTTTTCTGGTGTGACAATGTTTTATCGGCTTCAAAACTAAGTTTGTGATTTCCAAACCAGATTAATGAGATCATGTAATATCTTTTAACATCGGTGACTATTTAATCCATTCTTTTACATCTCAGAAGTATTTGTATTATTACAGGGAAAATATGCATTGTACATGTATCTGTAATAAACAGGATTATAGAAATTTTCCATATAATACAACGCAATCTTAGCAACTGAAGGCAAATATTTTATCAAGGGTGTGATCTACATGTATTTATCAATATGGTTTTCAGCATCTTGCTCTACCTGTAATGACTTGCTCCAAGTTCCAATATTTAAATTTAAATTTTGCAAATATGGTTATAAAATTCTTTAAAAGCCAAACAGTTTAGGCACAAAATGCTTATATATTTCCTATCATTTGTAAAATGTACACTGAATGAGATGTGGAATGTTAGAATTAAAGTATTAAATATGTTTTGGACTTCTGTATGCTTATGCAGATAAATTTGAATTCAGCTAGGGAAGGTAAATGTCATACTTATTGGGTTTGCAATCTAATGCAAGAGTATAAATATCCAAGACAAATTTGACAATTTTAATGAAGGGTATAAGTAACCCAAGAAGAATTGGACAGGTAAACATCACCTGTTGGGTTTTATTCTAATGTTGGGATGTAATATCCAAGAAGAGAACCAATGTCCAATACCTATTGGGTTTTCTTTCTTATGAAAAAAAATTTGAGTTACCCACGAAAAATGTCCAATACCTTTTAGTTTATATACTATTGAAGGGATGAAGATATCCAAGAGGAATTGGACAGGTGTCCATTACATGTTGGGTAGTATTCTGATGAGGGGATTTTCAAGAAACCCAAGAATTATACAAGTGTCCATTGCCTGTTGGGTGGGATGTAGATATCCAAGAGGAGTTGGACGGATGTCCATTACCTGTTGGATGGTATTCTGATGAAACAATTCAGGAAACCCAAGAAGAATTGGACAAGTGTCCATTGCCTGTTGGGTGGGATGTAGATATCCAAGAGGAGTTGGACGGATGTCCATTACCTGTTGGATGGTATTCTGATGAAACAATTCAGGAAACCCAAGAAGAATTGGACAAGTGTCCATTACCTGTTGGGTGAGATGTAGATATCTAAGAGGAGTTGGACAGGTGTCCATTACCTGTTGGGTGGTATTCTGATGAAACAATTCAAGAAACCCAAGAAGAATTGGACAAGTGTCAATTACCTGTTGGGTGAGATGTAGATATCCAAGAGGAGTTGGACAGGTGTCCATTACCTGTTGGGTTGTATTTTGATGATGCAATTCAAGAAACCCAAGAATTAGACAAGTGTCCATTGCCTGTTGGTGGGATGTAGATATCCAAGAGGAGTTGGACGGATGTCCATTACCTGTTGGGTAGTATTCTGATGAAACAATTCAAGAAACCCAAGAAGAATTGGACAAGTGTCCATTACCTGTTGGGTGGGATGTAGATATCCAAGAGGAATTGGACAGGTGTCCATTACCTGTTGGGTTGTATTTTGATGAGGAGATTCAAGAAACCCAAATAGAATTGGACAGTGTACACATGTTCAATTGTTCTTGGGTAGTTCAATCCCTTCGTCAAAGTACAACCCAACAGGTATAGGACACCTGTCCAATGCCTGTTGGATACCTTCATTCTGTCCAACATGTAATGGGCATTTGCTTATTATTAATTGGTCATGACTCAAAAAGGTTTCTCCATAAATACTTAATTTTGTTATTCAAGAAAGGTTGAACAGAGTCTGAGATTGTGTTTTCGCAATTCAGTTTTTTTGCACTTAGGTATTCATATATTTTAATATTAGTTATTTTGAAATATACAGGTTATATCCTTATTGTTAAGAACACATTAGTTAGGTGTTACAATAAAAGAGCTATATCACAGAAATTGACAAAAATATGGGTTCAAAACAAAAGGTTTTTCAGTCTTGTCTGAAATTACCAGCAAATATTAAATATATAATAAATTTGAAATGAATAAAAAACAATAAGAAAAAACCCAATAAAATACGGACACGAGGATTAATATCCAATAAGATTTGAACAGTAACTACCCAAATAATGCTCTCTCGTGTGTACACTTTTTTTGTATCCAATAAGCAGTATCCAATAGGACTTGGACTTGATGTACCCAATATATAACCAAATGTGTGTCTAGCCGTCCGTCCGTCCGTCCGTCCGTCTTTCTGTCTGTCTGTAACGCTTTCGTTTCCACACGATATCTCGAGAACCCTTTGAGCTTTTGCAATGAAATTTAGCATAGCAACTCCCTATGGACTAAAGAAGACCCCTATTGATTTTGAGGTCAAAAGGTCAAAGGTCAAGGTCATAAATAAGCAAATTCTGTCTGTTAAAACACTTTCCTTTCCACACGATATCTCTAGAACCATTTGAGCTATTGCAATGAAATTTTATATAACAACTCCCTGTGGCCTAATGAAGACCCCTATCGATTTTGAGGTCAAAAGGTCAAAGTTCAAGGTCGTAAATTTATACATTCTGTCTGTGTGTAACACTATTATTTCCGGGCGATATTTCAAGAAGAGTTTGAGCTTATGCAATGTAATTTTATATCAAAACTCCCTAGGACGTCTCTCGCCCCTCTCAAAGTGCCCCGCCCCGTTTGTTTTATTAGTATTTATAGTATTACATGTCGCTATTTTTAGCGCAGGGGCATGAGGAGAGTTATTGTGCATAAAACAGGTTCTCGGCGGACTTTATGTTCTTATTACATCTATTAGAACTGTTTAATAAAGGCTAAATAAATCAAACACCATGGATTGTGTAAAATTTTGAGAATACCGAACATGAAAACATGAATATACACATGTATGTGACTTCACTTCTGCATATACTTCACAGCATTTAAAGCGATTCCGTGGTCTAGTGGATATGTCTCTCGCTTCAAAGGTGAAAGGTCCCGGGATCGAATCTGCGTCGAACCTTTCTTTTTTTTTTTTCCTTTTTTTTTTTTTACTAAATGATAGTATTCAGCATGTGAAATGAAAAATTTATGAGGTTATAAAATCATCATTACAGTGTGATTAAAATTCCATATAAAAAAAATCTTCTATACACATAATGAATAATAAGCAATCAAATCTTTATATGTATATTGACATACATGTATTTTATTTGCTTCAGTATACATGTATACATTTAATAATTCTACAAATTCAGTCAGGGGGAGCCGACTTTTTCCCTAAGCGGGGGACACGAATTCTCTGAATTAGCTTGTTCTAATATCACTTTGCAGAGATAGAATACGAGGGGTGATCAAAGAGTTAGAACAATTCAGACCAGAATATTATTTGGCACATATAGTCATACACATGTTCTATAAATAGCATATGATAAGTT